TGTGCTCTTCCGATCTCTTTGAACCCAGGTCCCCAGAACATTACCTAGATCTCTGGATTGACAGTCTAGTGATAATACCACTAGGCCATTGCCTCTCCTCTAGGGACTAATAGCCCCATAGGACTAATGTCCTATAAGGAAGAAATTTTGCCTTTTTTACCTTGTGTGGCCTACATGTGACTTCAGACCCACAGCGATGTGGTCTTAACTGCCATCTGAAATGGTGGGGCAAGCCACTTGGTTCAAGGGAAATTTGGGATGGGCAACACCCAAATCCCATAAAAGAATAAAGAAAGGTAACGAGAACATCACACTGCCAGAACTCAATTGGAATGGATACTGGTGACTTTGTGACTTTATTTTATTTGTCGCTGAGAATGGAGTGCCTTCATCACCAGAATTTCCACTTCATTGAGGACCAATCTGCATCAGGAATCATACCTGCCAAAGCAAAGCAAAATTTCTGACCCACTATCTTTGCAGTATTCTGAATGAATAAGAATGATCCATTCTGATTGACTCTGGTATTAGCAGAAGAGTAAACTACCTCTACAGATTGTCCTTTGATTAGAGCCGTGTTCCGTCATCCTATTGTGATAAGGTAAACTTCACAACTTTAAATTTATGTGGAAGAAGCAGCAATACCTCTTTCTAGAATAAACTGTTTCTTGAAATAAAAGTGGCAAAAAGAAACTGTTACAAAAGAATTCAAAGTTACATGCGAATTAACCATCTCTGGGAAGAAACACAAACATAAACAAGCCATTTCCTGGGATAGGGAAGATAACGACTCCTTCAGAATCTGTTGCCTCATGACAAATGGGCAATTAAGTCTGCCTGCAGAATGCATGTTCTAAAGTAAAAGGGTTAATTGCAGGAAAAGCCGTGTTTTAAACAGACAGCTAACCCCAAATGTAACAAGGAACAGGAGAGCTACTTCTGGTAAGAAGGCAAGCTACAAACTTGAGGTCTCCAGAAATGTAATCAATGTTGGGGAAGAAAGAATTTATTGAATCATCAATAATGCCACACCACAAACCTGAAAGAGGGAAAAGTTATAAGAATCCAACACTAGAACAATTTAGCGGCAGAACTTCAAAGAACAACACTGCATAAAGTACGAACCCTGGATGTTTCCAGAGACACATACTGTTGGTGAAATCCTGGCCATATTCCATCGTTAATCGAGTAAAAGCCAAGTTGGGCTATGAGGCTTAACTTGCTTATTTGAGGAGACTTATTTCGGTTGCTACATGCAACAAAGTTTAAATTATTGTTTCAGTACTTGATTACCTGTGAGATTTCTGAATATGTAGCAGAATTAAAGGTATCTTGTGGTGACTTCCCACAATGCCACACTCAATTTTGATCTGCATTTCTGGTCATTCATCTAAAAACCACAACGTACAAGAGCCTGAGCTGAGGCCAGAATCACGCTGATCGTACAAAGGAAAGTGTTCTGTTTCATTCATTGGCAACCTCCTATAAACCAATAGGCCAAGTGGCCACCACTTACCTGCTGGACCAGATGGGCCAATTTCTCCTTTCAGTCCAGGCCTCCCCTCAAATCCGGGAGACCCTGGTTCACCAGGAGCACCGATTAGACCTACTGGACCTGCAATGAGTAACAAATAATTGATACTCTCATACTTTGGAAGCAATCCTTGACCAAGTGAGATATACAGAAGGGCAGAACACTCAGACAGTAATAGACCTGGAGGAACTTCCACAGATAGGGGAGGGTAAGGCCATTGAATGTTTTGAACATTTCATTTGCTAATGGGAATGATCTCTGACTTGGCTCTGAGAAGAGAATCTCATCCATTGGGAGCACACATCAAAAAGGCTAGTATTCACGTTCAACCCCATGTTGTCCACAGCCCAGCTGGTGAACTGAGTAGGAGGTTCACCAAGTTCCCACTCAAAGGGCAAATGATTCTTCCCAGATTTCCTTATCCCATGGTGAGGAATATTAGCATACCCTTGTCTCCTTTAATGCCTGGAAACCCAGGGTATCCCTTTGGTCCGTCTTCTCCTGGGCGACCAGGAAATCCAGGATCTCCCTTCACAACCTGCAGAGGGCCTTGTGGACCAACAGGACCGGGTAGACCTGTCAACAAAGCATCACATGGTCAGCAAAAAGACCCGACCTGAGATAATCTGAAGTAGATACTACACCTAAATTCAGAGCAATTCCCAATTCTCTGCTTGGCGATCGAGAGTCAAATGGAATTGGAGCAAGTCCAATTACCTGGTGGCCCAGGTTGTCCTCGATCACCCTGTGGCCCTGGATATCCGGGCAGTCCTGAAACACCTTTGATTCCTAGAAAGACATTTGTCGAAATCATGTTACATTGATTAAGTTTCAAATCAGAAATTATCCAAGATTCTTTAAAGAAATCAAGCACATGAAAGGATTCCACGGAGTTAAACTGTTTTACAATGCATTTCGCCACATGATCTTATATCTGTCTAACAACAGGCAGAGAATCCCCTGCCATGTCTTCCCTTCACAGTCCCACACGGTTTCCACTGGTGTTCCCCAAGGATCTACCTTTGGCCTGCTCCCTTTCCTTCCAATATGTCCTGCCCCTCACTTGGTTCCCACCACAATTCTCCATCTATATTTTCCAACTGTAAACTAATCTCCTGTTATTGATCTAAAATGAGAGGTGGCTGACAGGACAGATCGCTTGATGTAGGTAACTGTCCTCTTTGACTTATACAGCAATCCAGCATTACAACAGTGAATAGAGAATAGAAATTGAAACCAATCCTGTTGTCAGAGGAGGAGGATGGGAATCATGGATTTTCACAGATCACCTATCAGGACATTTGGAATCTAGGAATGAATAGACAAGAAAAGATAAGATCCCACCTAGTTCAGCTTTTACCATTCTGCTAGTCGCATGATAGAACAACAGTGCAATTATTGAGAACACAATTTCTTTATTTGAAAGGGGCTGATTTGAGGAAATGAGAGAGAGAAAGGCAGTGAGTGAGAAAGCAGGAAATGACAGGCCAGTTAGCTTAAAATTAGTCGTAGGGAAAACGTCAGAAATATCATAGAGACATTATACCAGGAAAGTTAGAAAAATTCAAGGCTTTCAGCTAGAGTCAACATATTTTTGCGAAAGAGAAATCACTCCGAACCAATTTATTACAATTCTTTGAATAAAGAACGTGAGCTGCAGGATCTGGTGAATTTAATGCTTTTAGATTTTCGGAAGGCATCTGATTGGGTGCCACATCAAAGGCTGACTAAGGAAGTCAGGGATAGCATAAAAGCAAAAGAGAAAGCATATAATGTGGCGCAGGGCGGTGGGAAACCAGAGGACTGAGAAGCTTACAAAGACCAACAGAGGGCAACAAAAGAAATAAGGAGAGAGAAGATTAAATACGATGGTAAGCTAGCCAGTAATATAAATGAAGACTGTAAGAGTTTCTTTAGATATATAAAAGGCAAAAGAGAGGCAAAAGTGGACATTGGACCACTGGAAAATGACGGTGGAGAGATAATAGTGGGGAACAAGGAAATAGCTGAGGAACTGAATAATTACTTTGCGTCCGTCTTCACGGTGGAAGACACAAGTAATATCCCAAAAATTCAAGAGATTCAGGGGGCAGAGCTGAGTATGGTTGCCATTACCAAGGAGAAGGTGCTAGTAAAACCAATTGGCCTCAAGGTGGATAAATCACCTGGACCAGATGGACTACACCCCAGAGTTCTAAAGGAGATAGCTGAAGAGATAGTGGAAATGTTAGTGGCGATCTTTCAGGAATTGCTAGAGTCAGGGAAGGTCCCAGAGGACCGGAAAATAGCTAATGTGACACCTCTGTTTAAAAAGGGAGTAAAGCAAAAGACGGAAAATTACAGGCCAATTAGCCTGACCTTGGTCGTGGGTAAGATTTTGGAGTCCATTGTAAAGGATGAGATTTCTGAATACTTGGAAGTGTATAGTAAAATAGGGCAAAGTCAGCATGGTTTCATCAAGGGGAGGTCATGCCTGACAAATCTGCTAGAATTCTTTGAGGAAGTAACAAGCAGGTTAGACCAAGGAGAGCCAATGGATGTGATCTACCTGGACTTCAAGAAGGCCTTTGATAAGGTGCCACACAGGAGGCTGCTGAGTAAGATAAGGGCCCATGGTGTTAGAGGCAAGGTGCTAGCACGGATAGAAGATTGGCTGTCTGGCAGAAAGCCGAGAGTGGGGATAAAAGATTCTTTCTCAGGATGACAGCCGGTGACAAGTGGTGTTCCGCAAGGGTCAGTGTTGGGGTCACAACTTTTCACTTTATACATTAATGATCTAGATGAAGGAACTGTGGACATTCTGGTTAAGTTTGCAGACGATACAAAGATAGGTTGAGGGACAGGTAGTATTGAGGAGGTAGGGAGGCTGCAGAAGGATTTGGACAGGTTAGGAGAGTAGGCAAAGAAGCGGCAGGTGGAGTACAATGTGGGAAAGTGTGAGGTCATGCACTTTGGTAAGAAGAATAAAAGCATGGACTATTTTCTAAATAGGGAGAAAATTCAGAAGTCTGAAGTCCAAAGAGACTTGGGAGTTCTAGTCGAGGATTCTCTCAAGGTAAACTTGCAGGTTGAGGCAGTAGTCAGGAAGGCAAATGCGATGTTGGCATTTATGTTGAGAGGACTTGAATATAAAAGCAGGGATGTACCCCTGAGGCTTTATAAAGCTCTGGTCAGGCCACATTTGGAGTATTGTGTGCAGTTTTGTGTCCCATATCTCAGGAAAGATGTACTGGCCCTGGAGCGGTTTCAGAAGAGGTTCATGAGAATGGTCCCAGGAATGGAAAGCTTAACATATGAGGGACTATACTCATTGGAGTTTAGAAGGATGAGGGGGAATCTAATTGAAACGCACAGAATACTGAATGGCCTGGACAGAGTGGATGTTTGGAAGATGCTTCCATTGGTAGGACAGACTAGGACCCAAGTGCACAGCTTTAGAGTAAGGGAAGACCATTTAGAATGGAGATAAGGAGAAGCTTCTTCAGCCAGGGAATAGTGCATCTATGGAATTCACTGCCACAGAAGGCTGTGGAGGCCAGGTCATTGAGTACATTTAAGACTGAGATAGATAGGTTCTTGATAATCAAGGGGATCAAGGGCTACAGGGAGAAAGCAGAAGAATGGGGTTGAGGAACTTATCAGCCATGATTGAATGGTGGAACAGATTTGATGGGCCGAATGGCCTAATTTCTGCTCCTATGTCTTATGGTCTTATGGGCTCATGGTCATTGCAGGAAATAAAAGTTGATGGCACAAGGGATAATATATTATCTAGGATAGAAGACTGGCTAGCTAACAATGAGCAGAGGGGAGAAATAAGGGATCATTTTCTGGTTGGCAAAATGTGATGACACAGGGATCAGTGTTATGGCTGTACCACAGTTATGGCTGTCAAATTTGCCTAATGACATAAAGATTGATCAGCAATTAAGCTGTAAGGAGGGTATAAGAAGGTGATAAACAGATATTGACGTTAAGTTCCGGCTGTACATGACATTGTTTAGGCCACTTTTGGAATCCTGCATTCAGTTCTAGTCTCCCTGCTATAGGAAAAATGTTGTGAAAATTGAAGGGGTTCGGAAAAGACTTACAAGGATGTAGCTGGGATCTGAGGGTTGGTGAGCTATAGGGAGAAGCTGAATGGACTGGGGCTATTTTCCCTGGAGCATTGGAGGCCGAGGGGTGACCTTACTGAAGTTTATAAAATCACGAAGAGCATGGATAGGGTAAATAGCCAAGGTCTTTTCCCTGGTGTGGGTGAGTCTAAAACTAGAGGGTATGGGTTTAAAATGAGAGGGGAAAAATTTAAAATGGATGTAAGGGGCAACTTTTTCACACAGAGGGTGGTAATGTATGGAATGAGTTGCCAGAGGAGGTATGGAGGCTGGTACAATTATAACATTTAAAAGGCATCTGGATGGGTATATGAATAGGAAGGGTTTAGAGGGATATGGGCCAAATGCTGGCAAATGGGGTTAGATTAATTTAGGATATTTGGTCAGCATGAATGAGTTGGACTGAAGGGTCTGTTTCCATGCTGCATAGCTCCATGACTCGATGACTCTAAGTGAATGGTCAAGTATCTGGCGAATGGACTATAATGTGGGAAAATGCAAAATTATGCATTTTGGCACAATGAATTAAAGAGGATATTATTTGAATGGTGAGACAGTGCAGTACTCTGAGATGCAAAGGGATCATAGTTTAGAGTGCAGGCACAGCAAGTAATTAGGAAAGTTAATTGAAATGACTGTTTATTTAAGGCAAGTAGAATGAAAATGCTTCAGTTATGCAGGGCATTGGTGAGACTGCGTCTAGTATACTGTGCACAGTACTGGTCTCCGTATTTCAGGAAGAATGTAAATGCTCTGGAAGGGAAAAGTTACTAAACTAATACTTGGAAAAGTGTGAGTTGTCCTATGAGGAATGGTTGGACAAGGTAGACATATGTCTGCTGGAGTTTAGAAGGGTAAGAGGTATTTTAATTGGAACATAAGGGATCTTAATGGGGTGGATGTAGAAAGGATGTTTCCATTTGTGGGAGAATCTGGAAAGAAGAGCCACTGTTTGAAAATAACAAGCTGCCCATTTAAGACAGAGGTGAGGATAATTTTCTGTCACAGAGGTTAAGAGTTTTTTGGAATTCTCTTCCTGAAAGGTGATGGATGCAGAATCTTTGAATATTTTTAAAGTTAGGGGTGGATAGATTCTTGATAAGTAGTGGGGAGAAAGGTTATCAGGGGTAGGTTAGACTGCGGAGTAATCAGATCAGCCATGATCTTATTAACTGATGGAGCAGGCTTGAAGTCTGAGGGACATACCCTGCTGCTAATTAGTATGCTCTTATGCTTAAATTATTGACTAATTAGTGGGTGAATCTCCATCAATGAGTCTACACCAGAGTCAGACAGGAGGCACAGATATATTTGGAGAGTGTAATCTGGGTACAATTAAATTAAATGTTCAATTAAATCAATCAGAATACTACTTCCATAACTCGGCCGAATGAAAATTGTCTCATTTCAATGTTGGTTTGCATTCTTCATGATCATTCCGTATTACTAATACTCAATGCCAGTTTGTTTTCAAGTATAAAAACTGTGCTATTATGCTTGTGGATGCACAAATCTAAATGAATTAACGATTGTTTCCTTCAAAACACTTTGAAATGTTGGATTCATAGAACATAGAACACAGAACATAGACCATTACAGCGCAGTACAGGCCCTTCGGCCCTCGATGTTGCACCGACCTGTGAAACCAATCTGAAGCCCATCTAACCTAAACTATTCCATTATCATCCATATGTTTATCCAATGACCATTTAAATGCCCTTAAAGTTGGCGAGTCTACTACTTTTGCAGGCAGGGCATTCCACGCCCTTACTACTCTTTGAGTGAAGAACCTACCTCTGACATCTGTCCTATATCTATCACCCCTCAATTTAAAGCTATGTCCTCTCGTGCTAGCCATCACCATCCGAGGAAAAAGGTTCCCACTGTCCACCCTATCTAATCCTCTGATCATCTTGTATGTCTCTATTAAGTCACCTCTTAACCTTCTTGTCAGAATTTGCTTTGTAAACTTTACCCCATAATTGAAGGTAGTCTGACAATTAAAGATGTTTATCAGTGATGTGTTGTATCAGAGCAGCTGTGGGAGTTCAAGGGAGGAATTTCAGAGCTGTGGGAAATCAGCTAGTCCCTATGCAATCTGTACGATCCTTCTGCAAGGCTTTGCAGAGAATCTTCTGCTCTGGTGTCTCAAGCAATCAGCAATGATGAGATCTGAGGGGCATTAGAAAGAGCAAACCATTAGCACCAATAATTTGATGCAAACGAAGGGCAATGGGTAGGATGTTAAGGTATTAGAGAGGCTGCAGAAGAGGTGTATCAAGGTAATACTGGTGATGAGGGACTCCAGTTTTAAGTGGAGAGAGTTTGATAAAGGGCAGGGTCTCTGTCAGCAGTTATTGCTCTGGTTTCTCTGATGTGATGTTATGATGTGGGAGGTCAGAGGTCAATCCTGCAGGACCTACTGATGACCACACCATAATTCAGAATGTGATGGTTCCATGCATAATGCACTAGCAGTCAGGAATGCAACCGATGAAATCATTGCTGGCCATCCAGAACTTCAAATCCTGTCAGCCTCAATTCTAGACCCAAGAAGGGAATCACAGTCTGTGCTTTTGGCATATAATACCTCAAACTGGGAGCACAGATTCCAGATAAGTATTCATACCTGCTACCATTGAGGATAGTATTGGCCATGGCTCAGTGGATACTGCAATTGCCTCTGACTCTGAAAGTAATGCATTCAAGCCCCATTCCAGAGAGAACAAAAGTCCAAGCTGACAATCCCACTCACCTGAGGGTCAGTACTAAGGGAGCACTGCAATGTCAAAGGCACAGTTTGGAGGTAGTGCTGCACTGTTTGATGGTCAGTACTGAGGAAGTGCTGCAATATCAGAGGGTCAGTACTTAGGGATTGTTGTATTGTTGGAGGGGCAGTACTGAGAGACCCCTACACTGTCAATGGGTCAGTAATGATGGAGTGCTGCACTTTTGGTGGGCTAGCACTGAGGGAGCATTATACTGTCTCAGGATTAGCACTAAATATAGGGTGCACTATGGCAGGGTCAGGAATGCTATCATTTAGATGAAACAAACTAAGGTCTCAATTGATGCCATGAAAACTGATTATCTGGTCAGAATCCCATTGCTTACGGCACTTGCTGTGTGTAAATTGCCTGATGTGTTTCCTTTGCAACTATTATTACTCTTCAAAGGGTGTGCCTCTATTAGGTTATCTGGATGTCCTGGACCAGTGAAAGGTGCTATAGGAATGCAAGTTCTTTTCTTCCCACATTCCTCCTCACCTCATACTTACAAGGTGTGTATGTTATAACCTGTTTTCCTCATATCATGCAACTCTACTCACTGTCACCACATACACTTTAATGACACTAGATTAGTAATTCCATATTTGAATGAGTTATTAACAAACCAACAAAGCCTGGAACTCCATGAGATCCTGATTCACCCTTCAGTCCTGGAACACCTGGGTAACCAGCAACTCCCTGTGGGGAAAGAATATCCATCTTTAAACATTTAGAATAAAACTAATCAACATCTGTTTTATGGCTTTTAATTGTAAATCACTACTTTCATCAATCTTTTTAGTTTTAACATCCTATATTGTAGAAATTCTGAAGAAGGGTCTAGGCCCGAAACGTCAGCCTTCCTGCTCCTCTGATGCTGCTTGGCCTGCTGTGTTCATCCAGCTCTACACCTTGTTATCTCTATTGTAGAAATTCTGTTGGATTTTCAGCCCCTCAAACCTGTCCCTCCAGTAAAATATATCCTGACTGATCCACTCCATCAGTGGTATCACACTGACTAGTTTATCAGCTTGTCTCATTCAGAAAAGTCGGGAGTATTGCATCAAATTCCATTCCATTCCTTGTGCATTATAGATAGTGAACTGGCATGGAGGAGTCAGGAGGCAAGTTCCTAGCTGCAGAATTCCCAGCCTCTGGCCCGATTCTGTAGACACTGTATTTATATGGCTAGCCATGTTCAGTTTCTGGTCAATGGTAATCACCATGTTGGGGTATTCAGCCATCAGAGTGCAAATAAAAACAAGGAGAGATAGTTAGATTCTCTCTTGTTGGAGAGTGTCATAGCCTGGGACCTGTGTGACACAAATGCCATTTGCCACTCATCAGGCTGAATCTAGATCTTGCTGAAGATGCACATTGACTGCTTCTGTATTTGCAGAGTTGTGAAGGGTGTTGAACATTGTGCGATCATCAGCAAACATCCTCACTTCTGACTTTATGACGGAGGAAAGGTCACTGATGAAGGAGATGCAGATGGGTAGACCTAGATCACTACTCTGCAGAAACTCTTGCAACAATGTTCTGATACAAGAAATCGTTGTACAATAAATTTGTGAACAAGTAAGTTATTGAATATTGTATAATCTTGAATATTAAGGCTGTAATGAAGTCAGGAACTAAACGGCCCTGGCAGAACCCAAGCTAAGCATCAGTGAACAGATTGTTGCTGAGTAATTGGCACTTGATCGCACTGCGAAACAAATTCTTACATCACTTTGCTAATGATTGAGAGGAGGTTGATGGTTTGGTAATTGTTTGGATTGGATTTGTCTTGTGCTTTGTAAATAGGACATAGCCAGCCAGGTTTCCACATTATCATCTAGATGCTAGTGTTGTAGCTGCATCTATCTGACAATGTGGAAAGTTTGGAATTTGGCCAAAGAGTTCTCAGCAATTGATTACCCTTCCGTTAAATTTAATGGATAAAATTATATTCAGTCTACAACTCAGGAACAAGCCATTCCACCCAACTGGTTCAACCTTATGTTTATGCTCCACACAAATTTCCTCTCCCCGGCCTGGTGTCACAGCATCCTGGCATGGCATGCCATCTTCTTGGCCTGGCCCAGCAGTCTTCCGATGGTATATGGTGGTCTTCGGCCTGGGATGGTCTCAGCACGGTCTCCACATCTCGAGGGGATTCCAGAGTGATCTCCAACCCTCATGAACCTCAAGGTGAAGTCCAGTGTAGTCTGGAGCCAAGGCCTGGTGCAGACTGGAGGCTAGGTGCCAGCATGGTCTGGATTGGACGATCGTTGTTCTGAACTTTTATTTCTGCAATGTTTGACTTTTAATTTCTCTATTTTCTAAGCTTTTGTAACTGAAGAAGCGGTACCTAGGTACCTTTGTACCTAAGATGGCTCTGTAAGTAGCAACGCACAGACTTTTCACTGTACTGATTTGAGTACATGTGACAATGAAGCTAATTCAATTCAATTCAATTCATTCTTCTTCATCCCATCCTATTAGCATATCCTTCTATTCCCTTAATTAGTATATCCAGCTTCCCCTTGAGTGTAAGAATGAAGAGCAGTGAATAGATTGCATATTCTGCACAGTAATCTAACTTACAGGAGACCCCTGGATTCCCTGCTCTCCCTTTGGTCCTGGAAAGCCCTGGGGTCCTGGGGTACCTTTATCTCCTTTGTCACCTTTGGTTCCATCCAATCCTGGAGCTCCAGGACCTCCTGGAATTCCCGGGGCCCCTGTAAAAGAGAAGGTATTAAAGTTCAAACATCAACACTTATTAATTACCTTCTGAACAAACCCTAGCATTCTTCCATTCTTTAAGCATATGTGTCAATGTTTCATTGTTCTTTAGGGCAAATTGTGTTTCTATATCATGTTATCTATTTTCAATTAGTCCTTAATCTGCCATAATCTGCTCCTCATGACTGTCCGACATGAGTAAGTAAAGTGTATGGGACCTCAGTACTTTCTATGACTTTTTTCAGATTCTATAAGTGTGTAATCAGTGCTGATTAGCATTGAGGTTTGCAGCCTGTTTCATTGCCACACTGTAAAATTACCATTTTTCCATCACTTCCTATAGCCTTAGCTGAACCTTTCCACTATTTTTGCCTGTCTCTCTGGTAATCTACCATGACCCCTGAATAACATTTATTTCTGATGGCCTTATATAATATTGTAAGGCTTGTCGAGTTTTCTCTAAAGCTTCAGCCTTAATTAATACCCCTTTCTGTACATGCAGTGTATTCAAGTGCACAGAAAAAGTGGAGCTAATTGTAGTCCCTTACCAAGATCATAATTCATTACCAAAAAAATGTTTACAGTTCTCCCCAAAAACCAATCGATATGGATTGTAACTTCCAGCCATTTGCTGTGAATTTTTCTCATGGGCTGTCATTTAAATATTAGTTGCTCTCCTAGAATCCTATGAAGCATCTCATCTATCATTGCATGTTTTCTTTCGTTCAGTGCCTTACTAAAAGACTTTCTGCTGCTGCTGGGTTTATTATCACATTATTCATATTTCCACACACATTTCCTTAAGTTCATTGTTGGAAAATTTCAGGCCTCACCTACATCCCTCTCTCACCCATTGTCAGTGAGAGAGGGATTCAGCTCATGACTCACTCCATTTCCATTTCTGTATTAGTTTTTCCACAATAGACTTTTCTCTTTTGCTATATATTATTGTGGATTGGCTAAATCTAGCTGCCATATCTATGAAGTGAAAGATGGTTTTCTCTTTGTCCCATATTGTGAAGTGCATTGCCAAAACATTTTTAAAAAATCTATACCTATTGAGAGACTCACCATTTGCCGTGTTGAATCCTCCTATATTTTACAAAATAAAAAATTTATCACCGACCTCTTCCATAACTGTCTTGTCCCTCCTGCATCCTTAAGTAGAATTTTTAAGATATGGCAAGATTTGAGAAGATGGATGGACAAACTGCAGATTTAAGATATTTAGCCTTTCTTTTCCTTTAAATGCCAATAACACATGCATAGTACCTTGATTAGAGAAGTTAGGCCTTGTTAACAGAATATAATAATGTCCAGTTTGTGAGAACTGTACATCCAGTGACTTAAATATGACTTAATTGCTATTATGGCGAAATGGCTACATGGTGGGTATTTGATATTCCAGGAGAATAGATGCAAAGGAAAAGGAGGTGGTGGAGCTTTGTTAATGAAGAACATAATTAGGCCAGGGGTGAGGAGTGACATTGTTGCAATAGATCATATTATGGAGTTTTGGTGGAAAAAGGCAACAGCGAGGCAAGAAGTAATGATAGGAGTTGTCTCCAGACTGCTGAAGAGCTGCCTCACTGAAAGGTAAAGTATAAAATTGACAGAAAATGGAGACGTGTAAAAAGGACACTATAATTGTCATGGGTGAGTTTAATCTGCATAATTACTGGACAAGCTAATGGCCAATGGCGACATGGAGATTTCTAGAGTACACCATGAATTATTTTTTAGAGCAGCTCATTGCAGTTCCTACCTGGGAACAAGCTATTTTAGATACAGTAATGTGTAATGAGGTAGGATTAATAACAGATCTTGTAGTTAAGGATCCTCTTGGGGGGTAACAATCACAAAATAGTAGAATTTTACATTCAGTTTGAGGAGGAGCAACCCCGGTCTTAAACCAGTGTCCTCAATTTAAATTAGGGCAATTACAGAGGAATGAAGGAAGAGTTGACCTGAAAAAAATATTTTCTGGTTTTCTCTCTCTATGGGCTCTATTTCCACTCATTGTTTACTCTTGCCCTTTCCCAACTTCTGCAAAATACCAACATTTTCCAAACTTCCGTCAGTTCAGAAGAAAGGTGACTGGACCCGAAACATTAACTCTGCTTTCTCTCCGCAGATGGTGCCAGACCTGCTGAGTTTTTCCAGCAGTTTCTGTTTCTGATTTCCGGCTCCACAGTTCTTTCGGTTTTTTTTTGGAAAAGTATTTGTCCCTTAATTAACATCACGATCCCTTGGTTGACATCTGGCCACTGTCTCTTTGCAGTTCAAGGGTGCTAACTGTGGTGAAACCGACTGTTGGAGTACTTTAGGAAGACTTGTGGTCATGTAGAATGCTAACTAAATGCAATCCTTTTACAGAAACAAATAGCCAATTGGTTCAGCAACGAGAAAACATGACCAATTAACGTTTGATGGTGTCACATAAATTAGGCAGGACTCTGGGGACAACACCCTGCTCTTATTCAAAAATTGTCATGAGATCTTTTACAGGCATCTGAAGAAAATGATAAGAAAATAGTAATACATAGAATTACAACATTATAATTCCTGGATAGTTATGTTTAATATTCATGCCAATTATGAGACTGCTTTTGTTTGTCGTAAAGAGAAATTGTTTCCATTAGCAGGTGGGTCAGCAACCAGAAAATGGAGATACAAATTATTTGTCATGAAATCCGGAAAGGAGATGAAGAGAATTTGTTTTTGTTGTGCAGTGAGTTGTTATGCTTTGGAATGAGCTCCCTGAAAGAGCGGTGGAAGCAGATGCCGCGATAACTTTCAAAAGGAAATTGGGTAAATAAAGGAAAACAGTTATGGAGCTTTGGAACAGAGAGGTGGGATGAATTGGACAACTCTAAGAGCCACAATGGGCCGAATGGCCTGTACTGTGTCATGATGTTCCATGAGGAGCCGGAAGTTAATGTGATTCTAACAATTCATGATCATAGCATATCTGCAGTCAATGTCTAACATCAGGCAACTTACCTGGATGGCCAACTTCACCCACATTTCCTTTTTCACCTTTTGGCCCCTCCAGAGCCACGTTCGGGGGTCCTGGTGGACCTTGAATGCCCTGATGGCCTTTAGGGCCTGGGAATCCTTGGTCTCCTTTAATACCTGGAACTCCAGGTGAGCCTGGGAATCCCGGTAAACCAGAGTCACCCTTCAAACCTGTGGAAGAACACACTGTTAGCTGGATCCAGGCTACATAACTCCCAGTTCTATCACATTTGGAAAGAACCTGAGTCATGTTCAATCCCACAGCCACAAAACCATAAAGTGAGGAATTCCATCTGCATCTAGGGGCCCCATTCTTCTCAAAACCAAGGAGGTGTTTGATGAATCTCACTATTTAATTTAGATAGGGCACCACCTGCCTAAACAATTGGGCTGTAATTTGCTGGAGATATAACACTGCTTTTATTGGGAAAAGTTGTTGCTTTCACTATTGAATTCTGTTTGCTGTAGTTTAAGAGACTCTTTCCAAATAAAATCGATGTGCTGTTTGTTGTAGAATAGTCTCTCGATAGATCTGATTACTGAATAAGAGCATATGATCCAGGAACAGGAGGAGGCATTTCAGCCCTTCAATCCTGCTGTGCCATTTGATATGATTATTGCTGGGTTCTAATCACGGCCTCAACTTTCCTGCCTGCTCCCCGTAACCCTTTAACCTATTACTAATTAAAAATCTGTCTATCTCCTTCTTAAATGTATTCAGTGTCCCGGTATCCACTGCACTGTGGGATAGTGAATTCAACAGATTCAGGACCCTTTGAGAGAAGTAATTTCTCCTCATCTCTGTTTTAAACCTGCTACCCCCTTACCCTAAACCTATGACCTCTCATTCTAGATCGCCTCACATGAGGAACTATCCCCTCCACGTTTACTTCGTCAATCCTCTTTAGCATCTTCTATACCTGAAGTCGGTTCCCTGTCCTTCTTCTAAGCTCTAGAGAGCGTAGGCCTGAACTGCTCAGTCTCTCGTCACAAGACAAGCCCCTCAGTGGATGAACTTTGTTGGCTTGTGATAGACTGTGATCAGTTCTAACGTGTGTTCACACACCATCCTGACTTGGAACTATGTTCCTTCACAGTCACTCAGCCAAAATCCTTGAAAACTTCCCAACAGCATGGTGGCTATCCATTATATGGACTGTAGCAGCTTAAGAAGGCAGTTCACCACCACTTTCCCAAGGGCAATTATGGAAGCACAATAACTAATTGCTGAAAGAATAAAAGTTCCTGTACTGACTTCAGTTCAACACTAGGTGGAGTTTTCTTCTTTCAGGAGGAGGGCTTAAAAACAGGAGAAACTTCTGTTCAGGGGCAGGTTGGGTTTTTCCATGTGATTACATTCTCCTCATTTCATTACATCCTCGTGTCGATAAAGTGGTAAATTTTATGAGCGGGATGTCCCGTAGCCTGTTGGGACTGTGCAGGCTATAACATCTGGGCGCTCACTCCCCTCACCCATTCCTAGAGACGTCAGGGACCAGGCAAAAAGCACACTTTAGTGAGCCCTCCCTCAAGATTCTCCTGGAGGACCACTCAGAGAGACGGGGAGTTCTTTCCCTGAGGAAGGCAACGCAGATTCAGCAGCTGAGGAGAGGGTAGTAGGTAGTAAGGAGCAGGAGACTTCCTTGCCCATGTTTGACCTGATGTCATGGATTCCATGGGGTCTGGAGTCAATATTGAGCACAGTGCTGCTACCTTTGGTGGGGTCTGTCCTGCCCATGAGACAGGATGCAGCCAGGGATCGTGTTGGTGGTGTCTGGAACATTGTAAATTATGGGGGTAGCACGGTGGCTCAGTGGTTAGCACTGCTGCCTCACAGCACCAGGACCCCTGGTTCAATTCCACCCTCAGGCTACTGTCTGTGTGGAGTTTGCATGTTCTCACCATATCTGCATGGGTTTCCTCCAGGTGCTCTGGTTTCCTCCTACAGTCCAAAGATGTGCAGGTTAGGGTGGATTGGCCATGCTAAATTGCCCATTGTGTTCAGGGATGTGCAGGCTAGGTGGGTTAGCCAGAAGAAACATAGGGTTACAGGGATAGGGTGGTGGGTGGTGGGATGCTGTTTGGAGGGTTGATGTGGACTCAATGGGCTGAATAGCCTGTTTCCACACTAGGAATTATATGATTCTATGAGCATGACTATGTCAGACCATTGTGTGACTAGTCCACAGGAAGGAGTTGCCCTGGGAACGTTCAACATTTGCTGCCCTTGTTGTTTTAGGTAGTAGAGGTGGAGGTTTGGAAGGTGCTGAAGAAGGAGCCTGGGTGAGTTGCTGTAATGGTACAGTCATCATCCTTTGTACCAATAGGATTCAAATTTAGCCATTGCCTGATTCAAACATAAGGCTAAAACATTCTGGGTAGGAAAGTAAGATGTTGAATGGCATGCAAAAAGACAGCATTAAACCTTTAAACGTCAGCATGGCAACTACATGTAAATAACAACAGTAGGTAGTAAGGATTGTCTCAAAGGAGGACAGATAGAGAGGTGGAAATGAAGCCACTTTTTAAGAAGAGGCAACTTTACCTTTAGGTCCTGGTGGACCCGGAGACCCTGGCATATCTCTTCCTGGGATACCTAGATAATTTACAAAAAGGACAGAAACATGTTAGCTTGAACAATATAAATGAAAGCACTCTTCAATGTTTCTTGACACGTAAACTGGTGTTTCTGTTATAGAGATGATTCACTGAGAATCCAGTAGAGTATCCAGCACAGAGAAATTTGTCCACCTCTACTGCTTTTTCAAAGTCTCCAAAAGCCAGACATACCCATAAATCCGACAAAACTTTTATGTATAGTTGTTCAAATTGTTAGCTTTTATTCGGAATTTGATAAGGACCCTAAGCCTCAATGTTCACCCCTGGGCACCAGACGTACGTACCTTGATTTCCCTTTTCACCAATTGCTCCTGGGATTCCATCAAGACCCCTTAAGCCTTTCTCTCCTTGCAGTCCTGGGATTCCTGAAGGACCAGGGGGACCTATCACAAAAAAAAAACATTAAAAAGATCAACAAAACTGAAAATTGCTATTTGGAGAGAAGCTTAGGCATTGTTGGGTATTCCTAAATTGCTTTCCATACACTTCTTGAACAGCAGTCATTTCTGTTATTTGTTAAATGGCATAAGGACAAATTGGATTATGCGTGAGATCTGAAAAATGAATTTCCTAGTGTTCGCCCTCCAATCCTCTCTCAGACCAATAGACTTTCTGAAAACCACGTGGGCGATGGACATCAAGTTCATGACACTGTGCCCGATGGACACCCCTAGGACTGATTGCTGGTCGGCATATAAAAAGGTCATTGATACCAAGCTAAAGTTTACATTTCAATGCATGAATTCCAAAACAATTGGGGTCCTTAGATAGTAATCAGGAATGGGTGTATTCCTGGGTTATTCTGCTTTACGACCACTTTTGTTTAGGAATTGTGCACCACTCCCACGTTATCCAACACCAAATTTGAAATGCATTCATGGCGAGGCTTTGAGGAGTCAAAAGTTGAGTTACAGAATTATACTGTTAGAATAACTCCACAGTGGCCGGTACCCCATCTCCAAGTCATCCTTTATTTACACGTGCACAGTTCATATGATGTTTAAAAAGCAGAAATAAAGAGCAACATTTAATTTGGTGAATGCACATCAAGGTAAATATGCATTGTCTAACAGCATTGTGAGTGTTCCTACACCACACAGACTACAAAGCTTCAAGAAGGCAGCTCAACCTGATTCTTTCAAGGGTAATTAGGGATGGGTAATAAATCCTAGTCTTGCTAACGATGCCCATATCCCATCAAATAAATAAAAGAAACGGGAGCAAATGGGAAAGAGAGCTTAGGGTGTTGCTCATGTGCGGAATAGACACCATGACAGAGGGAGGGCCAGATTACCTGCATATATGTTATAAATCACTGAGCATTTACAAAAAAAAAGGCAAAATCAATAATTTAGGAGGAATCAGTACTTAGCTGTACCTGGCTCTCCTGGAATGCCTGAGAAACCTGGTTCACCTGGGAGGCCAATGTTGCCTTTTCTTCCTGGGAGCCCTGGGTTACCTGGAGAATGATCATATAAATGTATTCAGTTGTTCCTGTTCATTCAGAGAACTGAAACAGGTCAGAAATAATCTCGGCACCGTACCTGGGATTCCTGGAGAACCTAAATCTCCCTTCGGTCCTGGCGGACCCAGTGTTCCCGGCAAACCCGGAAAACCGGACTCACCCTTCAGGCCAGGGTCACCTGGGAAGCCCGATAGACCAGGATCTCCCTAAATCGTCAACACACACAATCAGATCCGATCAATAAACACCATTACCATTGTCTGATATAAGCGGCACCATTTATTTCAACTTTCCAATCAATCACAGTGCAAGATCGAGGGATATCAGTCACACAGAGAGGCTGGAGATGTTGGAAATGCTCACCTTACAGCAGAGAAAGGGAAAAAGAAACTTAATTGAAATGTTCAAAATCAGAGGGTTTGATGGAGTTGATAAGGAGAAGCAATTGGCACGAATGAATGTCAATAACCAGAAGAACATTGATTTGAGATAATTGGCAAGGGAGTTGTTGTAATCCAGAGTGCGCTACCTGGAAGAGCAATTAAATCACATTGAAAAATAACCTTCAATTCAAGAAATACATAAGAAGGAATAATTTGTATGGCTTTGGGGGAAGGGTAGGGGAGTGAGATTAATTGGATGGCTCTTTCAAACAGCCAGCAACAAGCCCAGTGGCTGAATGGCCAAGTGTTCTGCCACACAATTCACCAATTTTTTGACCCTTTAATTAACATTGTTTTTTTTTAGGAATCTGACAGGGGAGTGCTCTGGTCAGGTCCATGTCAGCCCTGGCTCCTGAGGCAAAATGGGCCCCAACTGACTTTTGTTTTCCAGGTAAGCCGTGTGGAACCACACTGGATCCCAATGCTACTCGCTGGAGCAATGCCTCACAATTTCAGAGTAACTCGCTGGCATGATTCCTCAAGATCCCCATGCAGCTTGCTGCAGTGACACCTCAGGATCAGACCAGAGAAGGAGACAGAAAGGAGCTCATAATCACTAAAGGAGGTGGGGGTGGGGGGTGGTCTGCCACTGGGGTAGCAGCACAGGTGGTTACCTTTGGTCCTGGATCACCTGGAACTCCAATTCCTGGTACTCCTGGGCTGCCCTTTTCACCTTTGTCACCAGGCCGCCCTGTATAACCAGGCATCCCTGTCTGTCCTGGCTCACCTGGGGCACCGGGGGGCCCAAGGGGACCTGAGAAATGAAATGTGAGATTTAGTGACTTTCTCATTGTAGGGTCAATGATGCAATCCAATCCCGGCTTAAAATTTCCAATGGTTGCCAAAACATTCTTCAAACAAATAACATCCTTTGTTCTCAGAAGGATTCTCCCACTGGTTTCATTGAAGTGCAATGGAATGGCACTAATGACATGGGTGGCCCATTGAGATTACGCTCAAGGATTCAAATCCTGACACAATGTCTTGCCTAATTGTGTTTGCAGGATTAAAGCCTAAGTCAGAACTCTCTAGGGGAAAGAAGGCTGAAAATAGAACAACGAGAACGTAAAAATGAGAACATCAAAAAATAAGAAATAAGAGCAGGAGTAGGCTATTCAGCCCCTTGAGCCTGCTCTGCCATTCAATATCACAGCTGATCTTTGTCCTCACTCCATTGTCCTCTATTCCTCGGTGCATGTGAAATTAAGCTCTGTTTTAAATATAGTCAATGACTGGTCTCCACAGTCCTCTCTGGGGGTAGAGAATTCCAAAGGTTCATAACCCTTTGAGTGAAGAAATTCCTTCTGACATGTTTGACTCTTTATCCTTAAACTGTGATCATGTATTGTAATCTCTCTGACCAAGGGAAACAGTTTCTGATCTGTGAAGTCTTTCAAGAATTTTACATATTTTAACAGGACAATTTCTTATTCTTCCATAGTTCAGTGAATTTGGGCCTATTTTACCAGCTCTCTGCTTGTAGAACAATTTCCTAATCACAGGAATCTACAGAAAGTAAGGGCCAAACCTCTACATAAAGCTCCAGTGTGGTCATAACAGGACCCTGTATACTTTTGATACAATTTATTTTCTCATATTCTCAAATCTATTGTAGTAAAAGCTCATTTGTTTCACTGATTAAATACTGTATCTGCAAATTAACCGTCTCTGATTCATATAAAGGTTTCCAAGTCTCTGTCTCCAAGTTTGCTCAGTCTCTAATCCCTACAAATGTGGATAACCTCACATATTTCCACATTAGATTTTCTAAAATTACAAAGAAATCTTGATCAAATGGGTCAATGGACTGAAAAATGGCAGATGGATTTCAATCTGGATAAATGTGAGGTATTGCATTTTGGTACAACATGGGTGGAACTTATAAAATTAATGATAGGGCCTTGAGTATTGTTGCAGAACAGAGGGACATAGGGGTGCGGATATATAATTCTTTGAAGTTTGCATCACATATAGACAGGGTGGTTAAAAAGGCATTTAGCAAGCTTGACTTCATTACTCAGTCCTTTGAATATAGGAGTTGGGATGTCATGTTGAAGTTGTACAGATATTGGTGAGGCCTCTTCTGCAAAACTATGTCCAATTCTGGTCGCCCAGTTTTGGAAGGATGTTATTAAGCTGAAGAGAGTTCAGGAAAGATTTACCAGACTGGGTGTGGAAGAAAAACAGAAGTTGCTGGAAAAGCTCAGCAGATCTGGCAGCATCTGTGAAGAAAAAATCAGAGTTAACGTTTCAGGTCCGGAAGTTCTGAGGAAGCGTCACCTGACCCGAAACGTTAACTCTGATATTTTTTCTTCACAGATGCTGCCAGACCTGCTGAGCTTTTCCAGCAACTTCTGTTTTTGTTCCTGATTTACAGCATCTGCAGTTCTTTTGTTTTCTTATTTGGTATGGAAGGTTTGAGTTCTTCAGAAAGGCTGGATAGACTGGAATTTTTTTTCACTGAAGCATAGAAGGTTGAGATGTGACCTTAAAGAAATTTATAAAATCTTGAGGTATATAGGTAAGGTTAATGGTAAGCTTCTTTCCTCTAGGATGGGGGATTTCAAGACCAGGGGCACATTTTCTAGGTGAAAGGGGAGAGATTTAAAAGAGACATGAGGGGCAATTTTTTTTTACACAGAGGGTGGTTCATGTGTGGAGTGAACTTCCTGAGGAAATGGTGGATGTGGGCACAGTTGCAATGTTTAAAGCACATTTGGATAAGTACATGAATAACAAAGGTTTGGAGGGATATGGGCCAGGAGCAGGCAGGTGGGACTAGTTTAGTTTGGGATTATGTTCGGCATGGACTGGTTGGACCGAAAGGTCTGTTTCCGTGCTGTATGACTCTATGACTCTGTTATAGCCCATTTGCCATATTCTTTCACACTCCTTTAACCTATCCAAATCCTTTCATGGCTTCTTTGTGGCCTCCTCATAGCTTTCTTTATACTTAGCTTTGGGTCATTGGCCCAACTAGATACATTACACTTGCCCCATGTAACGCATTAATGCAGATTATACATAGCTGAAGGCCAAGGATCCTTACATTACCCCCATAGTTTCAGCCTGCCAAACTCACAAATGTTTATCCACATTCTTTGTTTTCTGCTTATGAACCAATCTCCAATCCTACTAATGTTGTGAGTGTTTGTTTTGTGCAGTAACCTGTAGTGTGGCATGTCACGGAATGTTTTTTTAAAAACCCAAATATAATAGATCCACTAGTTCAATCTATTGAATCCTGCTTGTTTACTACCTCAAAAAAAAACTCAAATAGGTTTGTCAAATTGTGTGGCATGGTGGCTCAATGGGTAGCACTACTGCCTTGCAGTGCCAGGGATCTGGTTCAATTCCAGCCTTGGGCGACTGTCTGTGTGGTCCTTGCATGTTCTCCCTGTGTCTGGGTGGGTTTCCTCCCACCGTCTAAAGATGCATGGGTATTTGGATTGGCCATGCTATCTTGCCCATTGAATCCAGGGACATGCAGGCTAGATGGATTAGTTACAGGGATTGAGTGGGATGCTATTCAGAGGTTGACTTGTTGGGTTGAATGGCCTATTTCTGCACTGTAGGGATTCTATGGCTTTAAACATGGGATGATATTTAATTCCGGTGATGGGGATCTTGTCCACCAGCTGGAGAGAGATATTGAGAGTCTTGTGTCATTCCTCTTTTCTGTAATCATTGGTCAGCAGTGCTCTAGGAGCCACAAAAACCTCATCTGCTGGGAATTGTTAGCCAGAGGATGGCTGCTCGTCATTACCTGGCAACACCTCTGGCCTCTGCTGGTACTGTACCTGCCCAAGATCCAAGCTTCTTCCATAAACTCAGGTACAGGTGAGTGACGGTAGGAGGGAGTCAGCAAGGGTATGGTGTGTAGCTCTCCCAGATGTGCCAGAAATTATACAAACAGCTAGTTTAAAATGATCAGCTGGGCTTGCAATGTGGCTCATTTACGCTTGCTCTAAGCTATATACGTTCATGTGCAGGGCCCTGCATTCTGTAGGAAAGAGGGGCATGATTTGTCATTGTGCCTCCTTTGAATTAGACAAAAGCCTACAATCTGTAGTGCCCCTGGTGCATTACCCACGGCAAAAGCTTAACCAATCAGAGCTGTTTGCCAACCAATTGTCACCCTTTTCTAAAATGTTGCTCCCTCTGAGTCTGCCGAGTCAGGGAGTTACTCCTGCAAATTCAGCAGCTGTTTATTACCATGTTGCTGTCTGCGGGATACTTCTGTTCACAAATTGGCTGCCACGTTAGCCGCACGGCAAAGATATTTCATAGGGCGCGAAGTGTTCATAGATGTCCCGAGATTGTGAAAGGGGCTGTAGGAATGCCGGCCCTGTCTTTGATTTCCTTGGAAAGAATGACGAACAGATGCAAAATCGCAGGAAGATTAAGACGCTTGCTTCAGTCTTTGGAGAGATTTCATTGTTTAGTGAGGTTACCTGGCAGGCCCATTTCCCCAATTGTTCCTTTCTGTCCCGGAGTACCCGTGATTCCTGGTTCTCCCGGTCTTCCTGGATCTCCCGCTGGACCTAGGGGGAAATAGGAGTGACATTGCTACTGTTAGTTTTATTGTTCCATTAATCGTCACCACTTTCTCTCTCACGTTTACCCTCTGCTTTCTGTTACTGTGATATGGTTAATACGCAGTCCTGTAAACCCAAACTCATGTACAGGTTTGAGTCTGGATAGGCTATTCCTCTAAAGGATGCAGATTATCAAAGTCATGGTTGATGGTTAACAGCCAGGCGCACACATTTTCACCAGGGGAGGCTGGAGAAGAAATCCTATAAAATACTCTTTCCCTTATCAGTAAGGAAGATGTGAGGTCCCTTGTTCTGCCCTGAATGAGATCAAGTAAACTGCAAAGAACATGAAATTGTGACGGTGCTGTGACTTTAAAGGTTATTTTGTCCCTTTTGTTTGAAGAGAGGTTGTAAGGCAGAGGTACTGAGCAGTCTGGGGTATTGTAAACAGCTTGGGAGGCCTTGAGTTCTTCTTAATACAGCCTGAAAGGGTGTGGCCAGCTCTCACAGATCCGGATTTCTGGGTTTTGGTTTTTCTAAGTAGCATCAGAAGTTATTGGGGTCTCAACAGAGTTGGAAGTTTCAGGGAATGTCTCCTGGCTGCTACTCTCTCTGAATTTTCTCTTGATGTTTATTTCCTCCTGGATTGGAGAACTGCATGTGAGAAACTGCGTCTGAATTTTCCTTTTTTGCCAAGGGTGTGTTTATAGGATATAACTATATTGGAGCAGTTAATTACTAATAAGTACTGTATCTATTATTCTGTTAAGTTTTCCAGAAAGAGTTAAGTTATTCCAAATTCCTCTTTCTTTGGGTGTATTTTAACGACAGTGTTTAAATAAATTGTGTTTGTCTTAACATCGAGTAGTTTGACCAATCGTATCACATCTGGAACACATACTTTACATCTGTCTTTAAAGTAAGAAAAAGTTAGGATCTGGGCTACTTTCTTAAAATATTTTGTGGGAAGCTCTGATCGGGTCCATTACATAATGAAGTGAGGAGCTTTTTCAACTTTGTGGTCTTTCCAATTGACTGGAATTACATGCTGTCAATATTTAAGACATGTTACTGTCATTGGATATTTCCAGCAAGTATTAAATGGTTGTGATAGTGGGGCATGTGGTTCATTAATGTTTCAGCTAGTCAAGGTTAGCGCCAAAGAATCAGGTGTCATAAGCCAGTGATCACATGTCCATGGAGATAGGAATTCATACTGAGAGTAAAGGAACATCCTGTATATGACCCCAGAAACATCCTTTAACCACCTCATAAACGCTCCTAAACGTCCTTATAAATGACTGTATGACAGTGGGGTTAGCTAAAGGTAGTTTTAAATTGGGAGGCCATATCTCACTAGCTTTCCAATGGAGGCAGGGTTTTCAATTGCTCCACATTGGCATCTTTAATCTGTACATAACTACTAGCGTAGAGCTATTGCAGAGGGATCTTTGCTTTTTGAAGCTCTTGCCAGGCAGGGCTCCACACATTGTGCTTAAATACGCACAATTACTTCATTTCTGACACAAGAGGACATCACCTGAAGTTGAAATGTGATGTTAAATTTGCTACCAGTCTGTCCTTGCAAAGGAATGTAAAATATTCCACAAAATTATCTGAGGAGCAGGGACATTCTCCCTGATGTCCTGATCAACATTTATCTGTCAGCCCGCCTTGTTAAAACAGACAGTCTAGCCACGATTGCATTGTTCTTTCTGGGATCCTGTTGTACAGAAGTTGCCCATGGAATTTCCCATAGTACAACAGTGATTATACCTCAGAAGTATTTGATTGAACCTAAAGCATTTTGAGGCTGTGCAAGACCTATAGAAATGGTTCTACTCAGTTCTGTCCCACCCAAACTATAACTTATAACAATTTAGTCAACACTATTCATTCAAAACTTCAATGACAAAAACTCTTAAGGACAGCAAATGGCTACAAGATTTCTGATGTCTTGTTGAGAGAGAAGCAGGAAGCAAGAAATTAGAAAAGTATTTTTGGCTGTTTTTCCAGTATCCATTTATTAAGTTCATTTCTGTACCTTGCATTGTTGCTTCTGTTTTATCCCTTACCTGGCTGTCCTGGTAATCCGGGTTGTCCATCTTTTCCTGGCATCCCTGGGTCACCCGGGATGCCTTGATAGCCCTTTACTCCTGGAAAGCCTGACCTACCTGCAGAGAAAAGTTTGAACTTTAAAAAAGACGGTTTCGTGAGAAGGAGTGGTTTTTTTTACGGCATGTACAAGTGATAGTTGCAAGTTATGTCGAGGGGGACTCATTTGTTAAGAGCTTTCAAGCAGCCGGCATTGTTGTAATTATTCTTCAAGCAATTGCCTAATTCCTTTTGGAGTGCCTTGCTGAATCTGTATCCGCCACACTCTCGTACAGTGCACTCCAGATCCTAACCACTCGTTGTGTGTAAAAGACGTTCCTAGTGCTATTTTGCTTCTTTCCCTGATTACTTTATGCCGTCCTGTTCTCGATTCTCTCACAAGTGAGAGCATTTTCTTCCTATTCACTCTGTTAGCTTTTGATTGCTTCAATCAGATCTCCACTCAGCCTTCTCTTCTTCAAGCAGAGAAGTCCCAGCTTCTCTGATCTATCTTTGTTGTTGAAATTCCTCATTCCTGAAACAATTCTTGTGAATCTTTTCTTCACTCTATTCACTTCCATATTCATCTGAAAGTGTGGAGACCAGAATTCGTTGCAATACTCAAGCTGAGCCTGAATTAGTGTATTATTTAACTCCAACATAACCTTCTTGTACTTTATGTATAGCCCAGAAAAGGATTATTCAGCTCAACCAGGTTATGTCTGCTTCCATGGAACACTACAGTCTCCTCCCATCTTTCCTGATCTATCGCTACGAGAGTGGCTGAATGGCCTTCTCTTGGAACAATTTCTTATGTTCTTACAACAAATTTGGCCGCAGTTGCTTTTGCCAAAATGATTTGGAACCAAGCCTGCTGAATGACTGCTTGGTATTTAGGTATTTCATCTTCCCTCACTTCACCATGAGGCACTAAGTCGACAAACAACTCTTGAAGTACACTGTAACTTCCCAGGGGAACAGCCAACTCACTTTGCATGGCCCTAGCCTAGTAAATGGTGAAGGAAGAAGTACCACAGCTGGAGGCTTGCTTATCTGCCCTAGCGTCCTGACCATTACTGGAAAAGAAGCTTCAAGACCTGAAGGGGGCAGCACCAGCTCATGCTTTCCCAAATCCCTGGGCTCCGTGTTGGTACATATCTGGCCCCTGCAAACTCTGTGATCTGCACTGAATTCCGTCAAATCCTCAACTTCTCATGGCATCCCAGCCAGGATTCCCTAATTGATTTATTTATCAGAAAGCCAGTTGGCTAGCTAGAGAACGCACGGCCTGATTTGTTATCACTAGTTTTGCATTCCCAACAGATCGGAAGAGC